ATAACTTGAGTAAATAACTAGTAAATTATTTCAAAAGTTGTTCCATTGCCAACAAATAAGTTTTATTACTTAGCAAGCGAAGAAAAAAAATGAAGTGACTAAGAACTTAATGCGAAATTCGGATTTCAACTCTGTGATAAATGAAAAACCTTTCAAACTAAATTATACTTCAAATTTATGTATTGAAATATGAGCACACTTTATTTAAATCGAGACTAAATCTTACTAATTTTCTTAAATTAATATTAACTAAAAGCATCAGCAAATCCACCCATTTTTCAGGTACTGTTTGTAACTACTTAAATCTTTTGATTTTCTTCCGCTGCTCTCAAAACTTTTGAGGCCAACCTTGTGAGAGTTTCCTGGCTCGAGTGAAAATTGTTGCTTCTTGTGAAAGGCGCTGTGTGTGTGTGTGTGTGCTTGTGTGTGTGACTCTTGTACTTGGAGGCGAGTACGTGTATGTATTATGTATGTGTTTCTGCGACTGTCTGGAAGCGGACTCTCTGTATGTGTGTGTGTGAGTGTCGGTGTGCAAGGTGAAGCGCTCTGACGGCAGAGACATTCAAATTTAAATACAAATGTTGCACGTGCCCTCGGAGGTGTCTCTGCACAATCCTCCCGATGTTATGAGTATATATATATATATATTGTGCACGTGTGGGTGCGCTCATTTCGGTGATTGCGATGCTAAGGTTTAATAAAGCAACACCAAGACGACGTCGAGGAGCACAATTACGGGGAATTGCGTGAAGAAATGGCAGCCATTCGGAGGAGTTCAGGATTGCAGGAGTGGAGAAGCGGAGGAGCCGTGTGCTGTGGCAATCGTATAATAAAGCAACTTACCGGCATAATTGGCAGCCGCAGCCAGGAATAAAAATGGGAGCACAAAGTGTGGCATAAGCAAAATGCTCACAAAAAACTTAAAATTGAAATGAAATGAAGTGTGAAGCGCCATTATGCGCACAAAATCCCAACTTGGCCGAGCACACAATTTGTTCTTCCATTTGGCGGGGGTTTCGCAGGTGCGAGTGGGAGTGAACATAATTGTTTTCGGTGTGTTTGTTTAGCTTAATTAAAATGCCCGATGCAAACACTAAAGTGTGCTTAGCTTAGCCCACAAAAGTGGAATATATACACAAAGAAAAAAATATATTTTTATCTCCTTCTTCCATCCGCAGTTCTATCTTTTTGGTGCCACTAAATAACCTTAGAGCTGCCCTCGTGATGGGTCATCCTATAGAGTAAAAGTTCTGAGACTACTCCAAAGTGCAAAAACAATAGAACTTAGGTAACTACTACGTAATTGGTTGAAATTGTAAATAAGGAAACATTATTCAAACTATTTCCTACCTAATCCAAAATAAAACTTTTCGAGAGTTCTGTTGCTATTACGTTTTTTTTTATCCTTAGAAGTATTTATTTAATGTTTCTCTATTTTCAGTATTATTTATATAAATTATTTCATAGTTCAGTTCACAAAGCAATTTAATAAAAAATAAGAACTTACGCTTACGCTATTTATAAAAATCAACTGATATACATTTGTTTTCTTTGAATGGGTTTCATTAATCTAACTACATACATCCAAAGAAAATAAAACTTCTGTATTTCAGTTTCAAAAGGTCCCAATTAATCTCATAAAAGTGGATGATAAATCGATATGTTATATATTTTCTAGTTTATATTTCTCTGTTCAGGTTAATTTTTCGTTCTCGATCACGACTTTGGGGCATCTCTGTTCCACCACCTGCTGCTGCCTTTTGCGGCTCCCGTTGACAGGCTGCCGCTTCCTTTGGTGTTGCCGTTGATGTTGCCGCTGCTGTTTACCCGCTTTTTATACAACAAAAAGCAATTTGGCCTGCCAGCGAGCGGGCTTTGGTCCGTCTCTCCTTTGACAGCCTTTTGTGCTGTCTGTCTGCCGGCTGTCCTGCTCCTCCTGGATCCTTCTGGAATCCCCAGCTCCCCTCGCCCCCTCGAGAGAGCCATTTTATGCTGTGTTGACACCCCGCTGGCTTGCCACTTCAATTTTCAAACGCCAGAAGGAGCAGGAGCAGCAGGAAGAGCAGGAATAGCTGGAGCAGGAGTAGACACCCATTCACCTGCCTAATGGTCTGTGCTGGATGTTATAACCGGACACTGGCGACCATAACTTTAATGGGCAGGCGGCGGGGGAAAGGGAATGCCTTTCGCATTCAGTTTTTTAGTACATAATCTAAGCTATTAAAATTCAGTGCCGTGGATGACAGTGCGTATACGTAATGCGGCGAGATTGGCCCAAATTGGGCATTCAAAAGGCGGCCCGTAATTGCCGAGCTTTGCGCCAAACGCAAAAAATTCGCATTAAAACGGACTTTTTATGGGATCGCAATTTCGGGGAACTTGGCGAGAGAGAATTTTAAATTTCCCCTCCCCTCCCCCGCTCCTTTGCCAAGTTAATCCTTTCGTTTGCACTGGAATTTCTTAAGAATAAGCTCCACGAAAGGGCGAAACCGCAGAAACCGCATTCATCATCCATCATCCGCCAGCTGAACCATCCGTTCCATCAACTTCATAGCGTTTTGCTAATGATTGTGTGCCAGAAGTCTCCACCACATCCTTAAGCGAAGGAAGGGGGGTTGGGGGGTTGGAAAAGCGTTTTTCTGCTTCGCACCAGTTCGGAAAACATAATATTTTTGAAGCGTGTGTGCGTGCCGGCGGCCTTGGCGGAAAACTTGCAACGAGCGTAGCATAGTTTTCCACGCTGAGACGCCCCCCAAGCCCGCACTTTAATTAAAACGCCGAATAAACACGAAGCCGAGCGTCGGGCTTTTGGCCATCAATCAAAGTGAGGAAATAAAACGCTTGTCCCGCCGCTTGATAATAATGTGCATTGACAAAGGCTCGTCAAGTATGCAAAAACATTCGGATCCGACTGTTTGCAGCTGTCGAAAATGAAGAGACCATAAAATGTTGTAGCGGCAGGAACATGGCGAATGAAATTTATTGCCCTGTTGTGATAAACGTGACGCGCTGTGCCAAAGGCCACGCCCTCCGAAAGGGGGCGGGGACGAGAGGGACATTTTACAAGTGCCTGTTACATTTGATTTGTGTGCGAGCGTCTGCCGAGGAAAGCGGAGGCATTTTCCGCAGGCGAACGAATGGCCGACAACAGGTTAAAGCGGCCCCAACGCCTTCGGGGAGTGGCTCCTTGAATAATGAGGCCAGATTGATTATCTTTAATGGCTGAACTTGGGCACAAGTTGGCCAAATTAAGTTGTCGGCTGTACAAGCTAGGACAAATTTCCATTCAGAAGTCATTCAGAGAAAGTTAGCACATAAATTCTCTATTCATTTTCCTATTTGCTTTCCATTTTCTGTATTCGGAATATATAAAATTAGAGTTTTTCTAACCACTTTAATGGCCTATAAACAATAGTTTTCTCATAAAATATTGCTCGTTATAAGCAATTTAAAATGTAGATTTTGAAATAATAAAAAGAAGCGTTAATGTGAAATAAATAAGACCAATAATTCATTTATTTTTTTGTTATGCCAACCCATTTGTTTTGATTATCTATTAAAAACACAAGCAAGAAATCAGATTATTTAAACAAATCCACACAAAATAATTGACATAAACTGTTTATTTTGAAAAAATGTTGATGCAGGAAATATAAATTGTGTTAAATTTAATTTTCCCAAATCGGAAACGGAAGCGGGGTGACTGCATGCTTTATTTAAATCACCTGAGGCCGCAGCCAAAGTTCAGCTGCAAGTAAAAGCCCTAACCGGATAACTGATAACCTAGAAAAGCCGCCAGGACAGGGGGAAAAGTTGCCGTTCAAGGTTCAATCAACTTGGCCCGGAATATTTGCCCAAATTCGTGTCCAACACGGCGTATGCTCGACATTGGCCCTCACCATGTTTCACTTTATCCCGTCGCCCGTCGCTCGTCGCCCGTCGAGTCCCGCCAATCGCTTTAGTAGCTTGTTTTGACATTTTTTCATCCCGCTTCTTTTTTTCGGCCTTTGTTTCCACCGCTTTTGGGGCCGCGTTTTTGCGCTGGCTTTTTCATACCTTTGCGCCTTGTTGCAGCTGGTGCCCCGAAATAAGCCTAAAAGGTGGAACATTCATCCGAAAAAGAGGAAATTCCGCGAGTGCTCTACCAGCTGCATTTGCATTCCCTTTTCCACGGTTTTTGTTGAAATTTTTGCCCTTTTTCCGCTGAGCTACCAAATCCAAAAGAGCCCGTTGGCCAGCAAGCTTGAAGGCTCAGATAAGGACTCTCGGAAATTAATGCGCGATTTCTTTCCCTGAGTTGGCGTCTGTTTTTGGCAGCCAACTTGGCTCGGCGATAAGACTTAGTTTAACCTCACGGTTTTGGGCCAGCGAACGCATAAAAGGAGCAAATCCTCACGGACATACGGGGCGTATACATCACGTGAATGTTGCTGAATGCCATTCCCTTTTCTCAGGCGGCAATAATCGTAAAATAAAGTTTCGTGCAAAGGCAACAGGAGGTGACCAACGTCTCGGCCAAGGATACCCTAATCCAATTGAGCACATTAGTTGCGAGATCCGGTGGCAGGTGGGTCGGAAATCAGAAGCCATTTCCTTTTTCAGAATTAAATATTAGCATCTGTGGGGCTTAAAACTCCCGATGATTTCCTGCGGCAAAGGGGTATTGGCCATTGGCGAATGGTCAGAGTTCAAAGAGCGCGAAATTCGATGGGAAATGAAAATAAATATAAAATTAGCAGGGAAATTGGTTGGGGGAGGTGCTCGCGCAAGTCGGCATGCAAACGCGTTAAAATGAGAAATTCAATTTGGTGGGGCGAAGCAGGCAAAGGGCAAAAAAGGCATGCCGCAGAAATTCGGTCGGTGAAAAATGTGTGTCTGTGGGTGCGGGTTGGTTTTTGTTTTCGGGGGAGAAAGGCATTAAAGTGTGCCGCTTTAAAGGCGGGAATTCCGCTGCTTGAGGCAGCAGCCAGCAGAAAGGACGAGCCTTTCGCAGGACTCACCACAATGCGCCTGACACGTGTCATTTTGCGGTAATCGCCCAGCTTGAGGCCTGGCAGGCGAACAATTTCCCGGGATTTGGATGAAGTGCGAGGCAGGAAAGCGAGACCGGCGGCAGGAGCAAGTGTCTCCCTTCCGATTTCCGCTAAGCTCTTGATTGCCGCCTGTCAGTTGCAGTTTGTATCTCACAATTAGCGACGGCAAATGCAGAACTCCGTCACCGCAGGACACTTTCAAGTTTCTCCTCACGAAAGAACACAGCACTTGACAAAGAGAATTCGGTTTCTTCGATTCACTGTTCACTACACGCTTCAAGTTTTCACCCGAGACAATTTCTGGGAAAATTTCAAATATCCCCAGGTCAAATTAAACGTTTTTCTATGAGGATTTCTTTAGTTTTCGCCTTCTTCTTTCCTCGTTCGTATTTTTTCACTGCGTTTGGCCTGGTTTCCTTTGCTATCGACCGCTGTGCCAAACGTCTCAGATGAAACTGAACGCTGCCCGAGATTTGCGGCCAGATGAAATACCCCTGGAAAATTCATGCGGCCAGGCCAGGAGCAACAACAAAACTGCGCCAAAGAGCGCAACTGCCGCTCTCCGTCGCTCTGCCACATTTCCGCTCTCTCACAAGGCACCCACTGCGTATACGTAACGTCACGACAAAAACCAGCTGTGCGCACAGTGGTACAAATCACTCACCCTTAATCATTTAATCCTAATTAATACAACGTTACATGAAATAAAAATATATAAAAATAAATACCTACGAGTTGATAAATACTTGTTTATTACGTTAGATTGGCTCCAAAAATCTGTTTTAACCTTTAACCTTCCTTTATTAACCGGTGCTTTATATTTGCCTTTTAAAAAAAATTTTTTTGTTGTACTTACCATTATTTGATCTTTACATTGACTGATGAATATCTGACATATACTCAAATTTCGTTAAAATGTAAATAGTTATAAAGGTTATAACTGTTAGATACCATTATTACATATTAATCAAAAAAATATTTTATATCATGCCATATTTGGTATGCCAGTTTTGTTCAATATAACTTTACTTTTTTTTACTAACGTTGACCCACTGTCTGGATACCTCAAGCACGCACTTAGTTTTCTGCCAGTGTAAGAGAGATGGCAGGAGAGGCTTTTTTGTTGCGGCAGAGAGAGAGCGTTGAGAGCGAGAGAGTGCTTCCTTTTTTCCTAATAAAAGTTTTATTTTCCCAAACAAATTGAAGGAGCAAAAAGTAAGGCACGCGGACAGCTTGGAGCAGGAGTTCGGGATTGGGGTTGAGACGGGGGGAGAGTGGAGGGATTCAGCTGGAGAGGAAGTCCTGGCTGCTGGAGAAGGGGGAAGGGGTGGGAAACGGGCGCCTGCCTCTGTGTGTGTGTTAGTGTTTATTAGGCTGCGAGTGTGTGTGTGTGTAAGCGTTGGTTTAGCTGTTTGTTCTGTTACATTTTCTGCGAATTTCACTGTTTTCTGCCTGTGTTCTGTGTTCTTGGAACAGAGCGAAGCGGGCTGAAGTCGAGAAATTCAAAAATCAAGCACTGCAAACTTGTTGATGGAAACCCGGCCATGTGTGTGTGTGTGTGTGTGAGTGCGGGAAACACTCGGCGCGCTTTAAAAGCTTAAAAGGAGAGATAGTTTCCACGTGGGAGTGCGTCCCCATGTCTACGCTGGGTTTTCGTGGCCCAGCGAAGGAAGGTGGGCTATTTACGAATGCCAGGGAACACATGTTGATTTTACACGTGTTCAACTGGGGCACACAAGTGCACGTGTTCACTATCCAAATGGAAAATTGCGTCTGCCGAGGAGCTCCTCTCGTGTGCACTTCGAAATGCAATTAATTAACTGCACGCTAATTGCAATCAAATTGCTCCCCGGCTGAATCCAAAGGCGGAGGGCTGAGTCAGCAAATGGTTTCCATTGTTTTTTCGCCCCTTTTTTCGGTACCGGAAATTGTTCGCAAATGGAGCACAGATTTCATCGGCTTAGGGTTGCTTTTGGGGGTTGGGAACAAGCTTAATTTTTACAGGTTTTCTCAGTTGGGGACGATTAAGCCGAAGGAAAGGGGACTACGTTCTGAATTCAGGGTTTCCGTGTGATTTCAACCATTTTTTGTATTCAATTGGGCAGAAAAGTGATTAGTTTAATAGCTCTAACTTTATAAAAACCTTTAAACTTGCCTTACCATCAAAAAAAATAGCATTTAAATAAGCTTAAGTAATAGAAATAATTTATAAAAATTGTATTTAATTTATTGAGTTTTAAAGCAAAACAATTAAATAAAAATCCTTTGACAGTTAGGAAGTTCCTACTGAACTTACATTTTACTGAAATGCTTTCGAGCTAGTATCAAAACACAGTTAGACCGAACGCAATCAAGGCCAGATATCCAGCAACGATTAAGGCCCCTAAACGTGTTTTCTCACTTCTGTTTTGCCTTCTTTTTTTGGTTCTTCAAGTCGAAAGTTACCCGCCTTTGTTGTTGCTGTAGTCTTCTGCTTGGAAAGGCAGTTCCGGTGAAGGAGCGGCGGCAGCGTGCCCAAGTGGCCGGGAGGGGGATTCCCCAGTCGCCACTGCCACGTGTAATCCTTTCTGCCATATGACCCCATTGGTCGCCATCCAACAGCTCCTCCGCACCTCTGCACCTCTGCTCCTCCGATTTTCCTGGCCCTCCTCGCATTCTTTGGTATTTTTAGGCTTCCCTTTTCCAGCTTTCCCATTGTTGGGGTTTCTTGTTTTGTTTGGGCTTTGATTACTTTAAGTTTTGGTTTTCAAATGATTGGCACAGCGCTGAGGAGGCGGCACTGATAGGTCTTTGATGTAAATGATAGCAGGAGGGATCTCAGCTGGGTTATTGGGGCTTCAAATTTGCATGTGGACCGGGCTTGAACTGGAAATCCGAGTCATCTGCCCTCGGGTTTGGTCAATAATCCATTTCATAATTACGCATTTTGCCTAATTGGCGGAGTTGGACCGTGAATTGTGGTCTCCCATTCAATTTGAATAATTTGCCAGATTAGTTGCTCCACTGAAATGTGCATAATGGTTTATCATAATTTCATAGAGTAGCCACATAAAGTTTGTCGCAGCTGCATTCGCATGGACTGGCGAAAACTATTTCGATGATTTCCGCGAAAATGAATCGATGATAAATGCGACTTTATGGGGAATGCTTAACGCCAACATCAAATACCCATGGCACTCGAATGTGTCGTTAAAGCCAAACGACTGCAGAACCAACTAAGCGATTATACCCTTCCCATTGGTTGGGGTTATTTTGACCATTTAATCCGATTTGAATTAACTTTAAATTACTGTTGAACAATTATAAAATATGATTTACCTATATGAAAGAAACGCTATACGTTACACAGAAATTAAAATAAAATATTGTCAGTATAAACTGCTTTAAAAGTCTTAAAATTTATGATTTTATTTGTTTTGTTTTTATGAAATCTTTATGAAACGATATATTATATTGAACTGGTGGAAGGAACGTTTTGTACATTTTAATAAGCTTAAGCTGAAATGAATTAAAAGATGTGTACTTTAAATTAGTTTACAGTTAGAATTTTTATCTTAGTTAATACAAGAGTGTATCCATTCTTCGCTTGTAGTTAAAAGTTAGAGTCGCTTTTCATTGCATGACTTTTATGGCCAAGCTGCAGCACTATTTGCTGTCAATTAACATTTTATGCGTTCTATTTTTTCCCGCTTTATTCCGCCCGTTCCAGAAGTGACTAGTTGCCTAATCAAGAGTTAATCCGGCGGTCCTCCCCCTTCCCCTCCCCCCTCCCACTCCCCCTCCCCCTTCGCCTTCACAAGCAAGTGAGGTCATAGTTGGGCTCTGGACCGTCGCATAGTAATTAGCCAACAGCGTAATTTGGCTCAATTTATGCGCATACATTCGGGGACGGACTGTAGCCTTTGAGTTTGTGCCTTTGTTCAATTTATGCAGAGCATTCTGCGATTATAAATGCTTAAACGAACGGAAAAACTAGGCAAATGTTTGAGCAGTATTTGGCATCCGGTTTTAATTGTGGCCAAGAACAATGGATGGACAGGATCTCTGTTTCTCCAGCTCAAAAGCCCCAGAAAATGACAGCTTGTGTTAAGTGAATGTAGACTGCGCTTTATATTTGCCATTTCAATTGCAAATTAACTTTCCAGTCCGAAGTCTGACAATGCCAAGCTCTTCCCGACATGTGTGCAAATGCAATACAAGAATACGGATGTATATGTGTGCAGAACATACTATATATTTATATATATTAACACCACATGGCAGCCACAAAAATAAACTCAACTGCTGCTGTCGAGTGGAAAATTTCCACCGCTTTTCCCCCGGGGAAATTGCATGGCCCTCAAGTTATTTCTAATTAAAGCTTAATTGCACCCAACACTCTATGGACAAGAAGGCCAGCAGCCATATGCAGTTGGTCTAGCGGAGAAAATAAAATGCATATCAACAAATTAAGCCTTAAATGCGAATGTTTAAAGATGTATATCACCCTGATAAATGGCTCCAAATAGGATAATCGCAGGATTTAGAGCCAACCGGCTCGAATCCAATGCCAATCGTTTCGGCCAGGCTAACACAATTTTGGGGGATTTCCCGACGACGAACTTTCTGCTCCGCACTACGGACAGTTATTTATGCCCGTACGTGCATCAATGTTGCTGCAGCTGCCGCAGCCTGCAGCCATTGTGGGAGACAAAACAAGCCACCAAACCCGGAAAGTGGGCTTGCAAAACAAATTTACATAAAGACTTAAGCCAGAAAGCCAGGAAACGTGGTCGAGTCACGTTTATTGGCCACAGGCTGCTCACACAGCCAGCACAAATCATGCAAAATTAAACTCAAGAACGGCAATCCCCATCTCCTCGCCCGCAAAATTCGTGCCCGGAAGCTTTCCGTTCGTTTATTGATTGAAAGTAGATTTTTGTGAGATTTCCAGTCCGTCATGGAATGCAATTCTTCGAGTGGCGCCGCATCTGGGGATGTTACGCATACGCCACGCTGGCCGCATGCCCACCAAGAAACCATTTCGGTTCGAGTGTTTGGCCAAACAGGGAACATGTGTCTGCCGGCCCGTTGGATCCGTTTGACCAGAGGATATTGCCGGACAACTGCAGACACAAGAGGGCAAGGAGGAGTGGCGAGGAACAACAGGATCCCCAGCAGCTAGAGGTTGGAATTTCAGTGACATGTCCGGTGCTCCAAGTGACCTGAAATTGCGAGACACAAGCACATGTTTTGGTTTTGGAGAAACTGCAGGAAAATTGCTGACACAGATGCAATGTTTTCGAGGAGTTGTATTTTTGATACCGAAGCATTTAAGTTTGGTGGAGAGAGGGTAGAATGTTTTCGAATTAAAGAGCCAGCAATTTACTCCCATGTGTTCACTTCAAACATCCTAGAAACAACCACTTAATTAAACTACAAAACTAAAAATAAAAT